GTGATGAAGGGAGAGGAGGAGGTAGAGAACACCTAACCAGTCCGAGCTGTACGCTCTTCTGCTGCGTCACCAGGACTCGGAAAAGGCCGTCTGCTACTACCCGTCCGTCTGGTTGTCGACTGAGTGAGGCCCTTTTGTCCTTGGAGCCACAGACGTGCCCACCTTCGTTCTGGAGCCCGGGGACCATTTCTCCGGATGAGGCTTCCCAGAGAGGCGGACTTGTCTTTATTGAGAGTCTGGAGCTGGTGGACAAGCAGAGCTCCCAGGCGGAAAGGAGACCGTCCGTCTGCCATGCCTGGTCCGACTTGTTGATGGATGAATGGATGCAGCAGCAGCAGCAATTGCTGCACTGATCGCATCCCGCTTACGCGCCTTGGGTGGCCATGTACCAGTTGGCGATGAAGGGAGAGGAGGGTGTAGAAAACACCGAGGACCAGTCCGAGCTTGAGGATCTTCTGCCGCATCACCAGGACTCGGCGGAGGCCGTGTACTATTACCCGTCCGTCTGGTTTTCGACTGGGTGGGGCTCTTCTGTCCTTGGAGCCGCCGACTGGTTGACGGATGAATAAATAGATGGATGCAGCAGCAGCAGCAATTGCTGCACTATTTGCATCCCGCTTACGCGCCTCAGGTGGCCATGTACCAGTTGCGATGAAGGGAGAGGAGGAGGAAGACACCGAGAACCAGTCCGAGCTGGAGGCTCTTTTGCTGCGTCACCAGGACTTGGAGAAGGCCGTCTGCTACGACTTGTCCGTCTGGTTGTCGACTGGGTAGGGCTCTTCTGTCCTTGGAACCTCCGACGGGCCAACCGGCGTCCTGGAGCCCGATGCCCATTTCATCGACCAAGGCTTCCCAGAGCGGCGGACTCTTCTGCATGGAAAGTCTGGAGCAGGTTGACGACCGCGTGGCCGTCTGCTATTCCGTCTGGCGGAATAGCAAAAAAAAAAAGAATAGAATACAATAAAATAGAATACAATAGTATAGAATAGAATAAAAATGAATAGCGTAGGATTCATCCATCATCCACTCATCCATTATCCACTCCTTCACCCATTATCCACTCAACCAGCATCC